CAGTTTATGCTTTATTGTCTTGTCTTGCCTGCGTATTTTAAGCGTAATAATGAGAAATGTCCATGTGCTGATGATACTTGTTAGCCTCTAAACTCTATGCCTCGGCCTGTTTTCACGGCATTTGGTTTTCTAGAACCGGATAAAATACGCTCTTGTGCAGTTTCAACATCACCCCCTTTCATTGTTTTGATAGGTTCACAATAGGCAAAGCGAGAAAAAATATCTATTGCCACTAAAACGTTTTTTTAACCGCCATTGTGTTTGGCCAAGTCAACCATATCCATCAAGTCTATATTCCATTGGCTATCTATCCCTTCTACAGTAACACGTGATCGAGGAAATTTCCTTCTGGCTCTTCTAGTCAGGGAACAAGCCTCCTTTGAAGCCATTTTCGGATTTTATGCCTCCCCATTTTATATTGTTCGTCTGACATAACCGCGTGATACAATTTTTCTACACCAGAATAGCTGGCTGGGTTGGAAGTGTAAAAATACAAAGAAGACAAATATTGCTTCCAGTTAGACATGTTTTCTGACAACAAATAAAAAACAACACTTTCTTACAAATTTTTAACAAATTTATCCAAATCATATTACAATGCAGTGGAGTATATAGTATGTGTTCTGGTTTCTTCTATACAGCGTGCCAAAATGTCGATTAAATGCTCTGTAGCTTCGCGATATTTTCGTCTCACTTGATAGTGTTTCAGCCATATCCAAACAATACAGACAAGTGTTAACATATTCAATGTGTCTGGTTAGTGGTGTTAGCGTTATTATTGACAAATAAATTTGCTCCAGTCGTAGATGAACTGAATCTCCCAAACCCGCAAGGTGTTGACCTAGTTGTTGATACAAATGCGCCAAATCCACCTATTGGGGTCGGTTTGTATTGAGTTGAGGAGCGCCTACTTTTGTAATATGTTCTTAATTAGGCGACCACTTGTAATGTTCTCTCAAAGCGTTGTCTGATCTTACATAGGCGCTCAATTTAACATGACATCTGAAACACTCGCATATGTCTGATTTTCCGCTGTAATACAATCTGGCACTTGCTAGTTCGTATTTATCCGGTAACATTTGTTTCAGATAGGAGTCAAACGTCTTGAGTCTATTTTTGTAATATTCCATACTTCCGTTGAGGGGTGCTCAGTCAGTGACGTTCATTTTGTGTAGGCCAAATCTTCATAAAGTATTCATTTATATACGCCCGGTTCGATTCTGTTTGAACGTTATTTTTAGAATTACGTTAACGATCTATTTATAGAACTATTGTCATTGTTATTTATAGTCAGGAAATTTTATCAGTTTCCGCAATAGTTGGGGTTGCATTCTTGGCACTGTAGGGCTCCCAGCTGGCTCATAAGACAGCTTTATAGGTAACAAGGCACCACTACGTCTAATTTGGGTAACACTCTCCCAATTTCTGGTACCAGCTCCTTTAAACGGGAATACTCCTTCGGTCTCAAACATATTCCTTTTTTGGTTGGAACAACGTCATTTTCTGGTTTCCAGTTCTGTCGTTTGTCTATATAGACGCTGTTATCGGTGACGTTACAGTAGACATTTCCTCCACATGGGGCCAATAACTTTGTTTGTTTTCTAAAGCCCTGTCAACATGTTCATTGAACGCCGCCCTTTCTTGTGATTTTGTTTATCATATTTTAACTGATCTACAAGGTTTTTCCATCACATTAACGTTAAACTGATACCCTTTTTTTGTCGATTTGTCATCCTGTCATTCTCTAATAGCGACTCTAAGATCGCCTTTCCATTCATTGACTTGCACATACCTCTGTGATACGGAATGCCGTTAGGGCCATTGCCTATGAATGTGTTTTTCTGAAACGCGATAGTCGATAGTTCGATGGTGAAAACGCGAAATCACGAAACTACGATGGTGAAAACGCGAAAGTACGATGATGAAAACGCGAAAGTACGATGATGAAAACGCGACAGTACGATACTTCGATGATGAAAACGCGATAAACTATCGTGTTTTCACCATCGTATTGTCGCGTTTTCACCATCGTAGTTTCGTGATTTCGCGTTTTCATCATCGTACTGTCGTGTTTTCATCATCGTGCTTTCGCGTTTTCACCATCGTACTATCGCGTTTTCATCATCGTACTGTCGTGTTTTCATCATCGTACTTTCGCGTTTTCACCATCGTACCGTCGTGTTTTCATCATCGTACTATCGCGTTTTCATCATCGTACTATCGCGTTTTCATCATCGTACTATCGCGTTTTCACCATCGTAGTTTCGTGATTTCGTGTTTTCACCATCGTACTATCGACTTTCGAGTTTCAGATTAACACATTCATAGGCGATGGCCCTAACGGCATTCCGGAATGCCGTTAGGGCCATCGCCTATGAATGGTTTGATCTGAAACGCGATACTCGACAGTACGATGATGAAAACGCGAAATCACGAAACTACGATGGTGAAAACGCGACAGTACGATGGTGAAAACACGATAGTTTATCGCGTTTTCATCATCGTAGTATCGTACTTTCGCGTTTTCATCATCGTACTATCGCGTTTTCATCATCGTACTTTCGCGTTTTCACCATCGTAGTTTCGTGATTTCGCGTTTTCACCATCGTACTATCGACTATCGCGTTTCAGATCAACACATTCATAGGCGATGGCCCTAACGGCATTCCGTACTGTGACGCCCCTCTTGTGTAACGTTGGCCTGCTTGCTACACAAGAAGTGCCACACGAATTCGTCTGGGCCCGGCTTTTGGTAGGGTTAAATTACAATTGAGGCGTATAAACACTTTTATTAACTTTAAATAACTGTTTAACCACATAAAGTAATAGGTCTATATAAAAGACAAGAAGATTCAAGTAACTAACATTTAACAAGATATAACATTACACGTATTACGTAGATTTAATATTTATTGTCAGTAAATATCACTGTAAACTTAAGTATAATAATTAGCATTCTTAAACATTTAGATTCACAGAGCTGTTCCATAGAGCTATATCTCTTAGTTTAACGAGTTTATTAATCAACGTAATATTTAACCAATTTAATTGTTCATCTCACACGCACTGTTTCATCAGATATACGTATTTACAAATCACACGTTTAAATACATCGCTTAGAAACACAAGGAATACAGTCACACTCCAAGGCACTCTTTTATTTACATTACTTACGATAATTTAACAACACTTAAAGGCGTTATATAGTAAATACAGTATAGTTCCGGGAAGGCACAGTGTTTAAACATGTACAGTACACGCGTTTAACCTAGATATTTAGCAACTTTAACACTTGCATACATTTAGATAATTTAATCGGATCTTGGTATTTACTTAAATTAACACATGAATAATTACATTGGTAATCTTGGACACTTCCGCACGATAAACATCTTATTCACCCACAGAAATCTAAAAGTTAAGGAACTTAGAAAGTTTTCATTAAAGTTTAGGTACTTAGAACATTTCACACGTTTACACTACCGAGTTAAACTTAAACTTAAGGTACATATTTTGTAACACTGGAGATGGGCAATCTTTAACAACTAAACACAATATTTAGGTACTTGGACTCTTTTTATTACCTCTGGTTGTGACATCTTGGCAAATATTAGGTTAGATGGACTTTAAATCATTTTAAAGTACTGTTTTGGGTGCTAGCCTTTCACCAAATGAATTCAGCGTGGATAAAAACAATATCTCGCGAAAAAATCACGTCACCGATGACGTCACAATTCTAAGTAGATGATGCGCCAAAATGGCTGCCAAAACACGGAAGTAAGTGAAAAATTATTATTATTTCATCAATAACATCATCTGAAAAACATCTAGAAGAATTACAGTGATGGAAATTCAAGCATCCAAGGTAAGTCTATTGATATCTATGATATTTTAAACAAGAAAGCATATAATAAGTGAAATATCTGTCCTTGAAATAATAAATTCACTGACAAGAAAAATATATTTACACAAATATGAATGTGAATACAATGCCCAGGAGTTATTAAAGTTATATAATGTAAAAACAATGACATAGAAAACATTTCAACAGTAACAACAGAATCATATTCAGTATCATATTGATAGAAATATGCATGTACACAAAATATACGGGAGTGCATTTAATTATATAAAAGTGGGTGGGGAGTGGTAAAATTAAATGCACTGAAACTAATTCCATCAAAATACATCTTTAAACATAATCAAAAGTACATACATAATATTTACATACACCATAATAATACCATATTATTTTTAATAACATTGGGTCGTTGCACCTCTGATTACCGAGAGTGAACTTGCATCTGTAGCTAGCCATGATTCTTGGTCGAGTGTCAAAACTCTTATGACCAGTGTTAGTGTTTCTCCGTCTTATGTACAAGAAGGTCTCTCCTGATTGGTTAGCTATTACGGGAAAGTGGTCGTTATTTTTAGAAACGACGTCATCGTTGATCGATCTTTGTATAACAACCCTTATCGTTGGTAACTATTTATAACAGGATGAACTCATTCCTTAAAATCAAAATTCGTTAAAGTACAAGACGGCTGCCGTTCATATTTTCAAATAATTTTCGCGCCGCGAACCAAATATGGCCACCGGAAGTGACTCTTATCCAAGATGGTGGCCGCGCATGCGCGGTACGTGACGTTAAGCGGCTTTTCTACTACTTATTGCCCTTTTCGAAAACATAGCTAAACACCGTTTTCCGGTATGTTACGGGTTTAGCTCTGGGGAATTACATCCAATGAAGAACAGAACACTTTTTATGTGATATTTCCATTTTTCTATCATTATTTTACCGTTCATGATGGAAAAATTTGATGTGTTTGAAAAGTTTATTTTTTTTCAGTCAAAATTCATTAGAGGTAAAGTTTGCACAGGGCCAGAAATTTATTATTATGCTCCTTTGGATGTTGACTATGAATCCATAACATTGATTTAATCGAACACAGTTGGGTTATGTTAAAATAGAGAATACTTACCGTCCGTCAACTGGTACAGCTGTCGACGCTTGAACAGCTGTCTGCCCAGGTGTGGTTACTACACGCCATTTAGGTAAATTTTCCAGAGCTGTGTGGAAAACGGCGTTTAGCTAGGTTTTCGAATTCATGGAAAGGAATATTATACAGAAGTAAAAATGTAATTAGCAGCATAGATATATGTTAGATATCAGAAAGAAATACATTATTTAAAATTGTGAATTGCAAAACATGATTTCTGTCAGAATGTCACAAAAATTTGGGCGTAGTTTGAAGGGATTTCACCAACACGCATTAATTTCTGAAAAACTTGGCGTTTGCATTCGTACGCGGAACTTCTTTTCTACTGGATTCAAAAATGAAAAGGTATAATACACATTTTTTGACATTTGAAATTGAACGCGACAGTGGAAATTGATTTTATTTACAGAAATCATGCAAAATGACATTTTTAAAGGCCTAACATGAATTTATATGGTATATTAAATACAATACATTTAAGCACGCCGACAGAGTCACCGAGTAGTTTTAAAACAAGTCAGGTAACTAGACAAAAACTCTGTAAAAATTTACAAGAACAGGTATTGTGGATATTGTTAGATTGAAATAATTCTTAGTCATTCATTTTATAGGTACTTAAACGTTTTAACTATAACTACTATTATCTTAATAAATCGAAGCGTAAGTTATACTTTAAATAATGGCTACCATTAAAAGTGCAATCAGATAGAGCTACTTTTATTATCGTAATGTATAATTTGTAATAGAAATTAGAATAGTGCACGTGTGTGATTATATTGCGCCGAAGTAATAACAGTAGTACCTTGATTATTATGGTACGAAATTATATTTAATCAAACATATTTGAATTATGTATAGTATATTTTTTTATTCTCCGACTTTAATTTTGTGTCTAAATGTGTCTTCAGCTGAATGTTTAAGTGTTATGACGGTAAACAAGATCCCGGAAAAAATGTATTTATAAACCGCCTGCGACAGTAAAGCCGTGATAATCGCACGTATTCATAATTTTATTTTATCTTATACTTGTTCATGTGGAAAATATTATTTAATGTTAAAGAAATAATTTTAAATAGATCGAAATTATCAGTGTCATATCCGGAGGAATTTATAAGTAATACGCATTGGTGCATTGATGTGTCCATTAAGAAGGGTAAACATCTCGTATGCACTAAAACACGAAACATTCGCCATTCCTTTCATTATCTGTTTATATCAACATTGACAAATAGGGGTGTTGATAATTCCTATATAAAAGCACATATATACATGATATATCTTTTTCTTTTAAAAAGAGTTCTGCGTTTAAGATTAAACTTTTTTTTAGAATACTACTATTTGTATTACCACGCCGCGTTATAATCTTATAATCACACGATTGGGAGTAGTGCCGTGATAATCACACGTACGGTCTTATATACATTCCAAATAATTTGAATTATATACCATTTTATTCAAAAATGAATTCCGCATCTAATGGTATAACTTTTGTGCAAATGCTATGTTTTTTTCCAAAACGCGGGAATGTATTTAAAAAACAACACATTTTACTGGAATTTTCACACGAGGCGTTCTTTTCATATGAATACATTGTACACATAATTGTGTTCTTATCTTTTATGATAGACATTTTATAAATAAAAAACTAAGTAATTTTAGAACCCAGTCGTTAAAAGACATTTGTGCAGTTCTATGTAGTGTCAAGATTATATTCTAAATCAAAGCACTTCATGCACTGAGGTATACATTGCTTGACAATATCAGGGGTTCGAACGTATAGCGGTGCGATATTCCTTTAAGCGAGGTGAAACCATGCGATACGGTCTAATGGTGGATTTATTTTTGTAAACACACGTCAGAGTGAGTGTATTTTATTAATTATTTCATAAATCTTCGAAAACAATTGCATATTTTGTATTGCAGATGTGAAGATAGGACCGATACGCAGCTCATGAAAGTTACACTTTAAGTCAAATTCTTGAATTATATATCTTGTTTAAAATTTCTGTTATAAAAAAAAATAAGTTTGCTAATTTGCTATGGTATTTTTACACAATAAGGCTGTTGAAATATAATCAAAATTCCCAGCATATAAATGGTGATTTATAATGTTTTATAAATTCATGACCTGCACGGTTTGTGATAATATAATTATATATGTCCTTTAAATGAAGTTTCAGCTACTGCTATATACTCAATGCTTTATTTCATGTAGATGGCATTTCTTTGCCATTGTTTGAAATTAACTGTTTGAACTGTTCAGCGTTTTATTCATAGATTGGGTGGTTAGAAGTTGTAGCTTCAATGTTTTCCGAATCTGAAGAGTCGGAAGGATATTTATGATGAAATAGAGAAAAAATTAAACAGACACATGTTGTATTTTATCATTATTTACTACTTAAGTTTAGAATAATGTTTTGTCTTGTTACCTGAATGATGAATACCAACAATTTTGTTGAGGTGCAAGTATGTTGATGCCCGTCATTGACCTAGTATCATTTTGTTTCAAATGTATACAAATCCTTTGTTTAACAAGAAATTACTTGCCAACAGAAGTCTATTACCAGGAACAGTACAATTTAGTAACATAACTAAGTTACTTAAGTGGTTGGACCAGAGAGCTACATTAAATGACTTCATTCTGTCCAGTCGACCATTCCCATCAAATAAATGTCTGTTTTAGTGCTAAGTCCAGCAGTACCGGATGAGAATAGAGTAAATTAGATATTATTCTGATTTAAGAATTACAAAGAAAAACTATAATATAAATCTATTTAATTTCAAAAAAAGTTAAAGCATAAAAGTAGCAATTCTTTTGAATGCACATGACTGTATAATTTTTGTGTTGGCAAAAAAGACACTCTAAAAAAATCGTACATTACGCCAAATGAATGCACTACTTATTATATTAAAGCTGGTAAAGTGATATTTTCAACTTGATATTTTATTCTATTTATATTCTGCTTAACAAAAAAGGTTGAGAAACACGTATACAGATGATACAATTTAAAGTAAATTAGGGTTTCCTTCAATCGTAAAGTCAGCCGTATGGTTGTTCCAATTACTTCTAACCTGGTCTTGCTCCTTTTGTAGAATCTGTGTAAAGCATCACCGCAGACATTCCTTGCAATATATAATTAGGTTGGTAAAACCTGCAGTCATTTTTATTGGGGAATAATATTTAACAGATAAATGACATAATATGTCAAGAAAAATATATTTCTCTTTTAACATGTTGAGTGATGGAAAAGAGTCATGGCCTCTATAGTTATACTAAGGATAAGCTTGGTGAGATTTCATTATAAGGTTATTCTTATTTAAATTAAGTTCTTAAGCATCATTGACAAGAGAATGTTGATTTTGTTTAAAGCAGCACGCCTCCAGATGAGCAAAAATATTTCAATAAATCAAACCGGAGAAAAATGTACTAAGAGTTTAGGAAACAATGTGAGCCCGAAATGTATCAATGAGCTCAACAGATATCATAAGAAATAAAACCAATAAGGTGATCAGACCTTCAGAAGAAAATAATTAATGAATGAATGAATTAGTTAATTACCTGATTTGAATGAGAGCTTTCAATGATAATACTTTTATTTGCACCACTTTTATCCTCATGATACAGTCTTAGTGTCTGTTGCCTGTAAAAATCTTTATGTTCTCAGTACCTCAGTACCAGCAGGATCAACTCTGATACACCTGGGAACACCTAAAACTAGTTATCATTCCTACAAATAGGAGTGCTAATTGTTTTACTTTTGTAAATAATTGCATAGCCCAGTGATGTCAGGCTTTTATAGTGTTTAAATGTATAAAGCTATATATCTGCTTCACAAATAATTATTTGAATTTTAGAAAAAGAATACTTCCAAAAGATGGTGGATAATTGCCTTAAAAGCGAATGGCGCATGCGCAAAACAATAGCTTAACGGATAAACCCCTACTTAAAATAGCAAACAATATTTTGTTCCGGGACATTTTATTCTGTTTACGTACAATATTCATTGTGTTAACAGAGACATTCTATGTTACAACTTTTTCGGGAATCAACCATGTAATAATGGAACCATTTTAATAAACGTTTGACGCATGCATAATTTCTATACACAAGTTCAGAAATCTTTTATACTTTCGCTCACATTGTAAAATACGAAAGTGACTCCAAAATTATCAAATATAGCTTTTAATTTTGATTTTAGATTAATATTACAGTTTGTAAACCCATGTTTTCAGAAATGAATAAATTATATTTAAAAAAAACAATCGTTATGGTAGTTTAATATACATGTTTTTTATTATTTCTATAAACCAGTTCCAGTTCAGAGACCTTATACTTTCGCCCACATTGAACAGTACGAAAGTGACTTATTCGGACGAAAGTGAATGACAATATTCATGATATTAATGCTTTTTATTATGACTAAATAAATGAATTGTTTTCGTTGTTATTCGTGTTATCATTTAATAACAGCCTTTTGAAATTATCAGAGATATATAAAAGTGACATTACGTTCATTTTATCGTTGTTTAAATATGAATTTATTTCAAAATATTCACATTTATAATTGTGACTGATGTATAATATTGATGATGAAAATGACTAGCAAATGAGAGGATATGAAATGAATATTTTATATGAAATTATCCTACCTAAATATTTCTGTGAAATCTCAATGAATTAAGATTAAATATTTAGATACATCTGCTTCAATAACATCATACCTGATCACGGTTCTAATTTAAAACCGAGGTCTCACCGTCTGGCGTATGCGAAACTTATTTTGAAGTGGACAATTTTTGCGTTTTATCACGAAACATATCTAATGTACAAATATACATATAATCATATATCATACTTAAGTTATGCAAGGGCAATTTTCTCATTCAATTTTAATAATTTATGCAGAAATGCATTATATATTAATGATTTCGCACATAAAACCCTAATTTCTTTGTAAACTAAAATGATATTTTATCAGAAACATCTTCCTTGAAGTCAGCGAGAAATATAACAAGATCTTTTCCAAACGTTTTATTCATAATTAATGCATAAATGCAGTTATTAGTTACTTTTTAAATACCACTCGTTTCTTTTTTTCTTAGTGAAATATTATTTTAACACAATGATGCAAGTAAAATGTTATTTTCAAATTAACATGTACATTGCCCACCTACACTTGGATGAGCATAATGTGACTTTATTCTGCTCAGAGATCTTGAAATATATGTTTGCTTTGAACACTTGGACATAATGATCTTTATGATAATTACATTAATAATTATACATAATGTATAAATGTAACGCATTTACTGTACTTTCTACAGCAAATGTCCACTATGATACG